TATTCAGCTAATTGGTGGCACACATTTACAGTCGACGTCACTGAAGAGAAAAGGTTTAAATAGAAGAAAAAGGCATGAAAAAAATAGAAGAAAAAGGCTTTTATCATTAAACAATCATGTAAATAAAAAGATAAAAAAAATTCTGGTTATTTTCTTGGGATTATTTGTTGAGGTTTTCTCTCTCTTTTTTAGTTAGATCAACTTGGCTTTATAAATTTTTTTCATAATTATGTTCAGTTCACTTTTTTGTCATATTTTCCACTTTTTTTTTTTATTCAAAAGGACAGAGGAATATTTCGAATGGATTTCCCACTCACATGCAGTCACACAAACTTCACTAAAGTTCAAAGAGTCATCACAGGCAGACTCTCCTGCTATGAACATGTGAAAGGAACATTCCTTACACAGTGAACTTAAAAAATGCCACAAACCTTCTTATCTCCTACCAACACACCTTTCGCTTTAGGGTCAGCAGCAGAAGTGCTTTTTGGTGTTCAAAGTTTGTTCAGCAGTGGTGTTTCTTCCACTGCCTTAATCAGACATTTATACCCTTAGTACATCCCACCATTAGCTTATTCTGTTACTAAACATAGCTTTTCTGTGTTCACATGGCATCATTATTAATCATTATTAATCTCCCTGAAAAAAAAACTGTGAAAATACCCTTCCTGAATCTCAACATTTAGTGTTACCTAGCCCTCATGTTGCAGCTGTGTTTTTTATCACCAACATTCTAGCTTCTTGACCCATTTAGGTGTCCAGCGTTACAACAGGATGAATATCCGCTTAGTGGTCCACTTCCAAAAATGTAAATGATTTTCCAGTTCCAGAAATGCAAAAATATAATCCTTTATCTAAAGATTCCTGAATATGTATCATCTTGCAAAGATTGACTTTTGGGGGTCAAAGCGTTTCTTTACAGAACTATAATTTATAAAGCATAGCCTCTTGGAGGCCAGTATGTTTAACAATAGAAAATTATTAAGAACTTGAGTATGTAGATTATATTTTCTTTGTTTTTCTACATTTGGGAAAGCCTTTTAGATTGAACTTTTTTTTTCTCTGAATCATCTTTACCCGTCTACCCCCAAAATGTATGTAATTCACAACTTTTTCCTTTCTCTTTGGAGGAATATCTGGTGTTAATTTCTCCTCTGAGGTTCATGAATACATACTGAAGGATCTTATCCATTCTATTGCTGAATCAGGCATGCCTGTAGAATAATCCAATTTAGGGGCCTTTGTTGATTCAATTAGATTAGATGCCAAATAGGAAAAAGTAAATTGAATTATTATGCCTTTATCTGGCTGTACCATTCATCCATCCTGCTTAAAGAAACGTAGAATGGTGAATGGCAAAAGAGGTTATTTTGTTGACGGTAGCACTCTGGCAACAAGGAGACCCTCATCCATATAGAAACAGGGAGTTATATCACTTGTTACAGAACTGTTGTTCTGCATTGGTTAACCTGGCTTCCAGAGGGAAGAGTTTGTCTATAGGGATGCTCATACCATGTGCAAAATGCACTAAAACTTCCTTCCTCCCTGCCCATTTGCTTCCTTGTCTTCACTGGAGATTCACTGAAACTAAAGAACCTCTTTGCCCTGATCATTTTCTGTCATGGTGTGCTCCCCCCCTCCCCTGCTTAAGCAGTAACCACTAGTGATCCTGATGGCTACATCCAGTCATGGTGATTCCATCCGGCTTAAATTGGACTCTGGGGAGACAGACAACAGCACAGCAGCCAAGGGCTATCTTGCGCGTCTTTCCAACAGCTGAGGGCTGGTTCAGCATGCACCAACCAAAACCCAGCTAGTATGCAAATATAGCTATAAGCCAATCGTCTTACTCCATAAATAGTGGACAGCCCAGGGCCCGCTGAGCTCTCCTGCATGGCAGCGGACTGTACGCCAGGATTTCCCCTTGAGTAGGGACGCCTCTCAAGGTTACTAGAGATTCCTTGCTGCAACGGTTTCTGAATGAGTGATTAATAGCATGCTAAATGACATAAAGGATAGATTGTGCATATATAATCCTTTAGACATAAACCGTTGACCAAGTCTGGGACTAGGATCAGATCCAGCTGCACCCAGACTCCTCTCTAAGAAGGAGTTTAGAGAGCAAGGGGGTCTTTTTCTGAACCTGGTGACTCAATGTGAGGATCTCCCTGGCAGTTTTGTCTGACACTGTCCTATATGCAGTAAATAATCAAGTGTACCTTGCCATCAGATGTTGTTAAATCACTGTTGCATTAACATTTGAACTTTGCTAGCTTTTATATCAGTAACATATGTTGCTGCTTCTCTCACGCAAGTGAAGTGCATAACTCACTCTGACTCCATCCATGACATTTTCCAGTTGGTCATGTCTATAGGTAAAGAAGTGGCACCTGGAGTGATCTCCCTTTTAACAATCTCCTACTTCATTGCACTGCCATAGTCAAGGCCTTTTTTTTCTGGTGATAGCAGCAGTTTGCAAGAATATTTGCCTCTCTTTCTGCACTATTGCTACAGGTCTATCTGTTAAATCTTAAATACTAATTAATAATTAAAAAGGGTATTAATATAACGTGCTGGCCCCATATGTATGTCTTATTCTTCACAGTTTTATAGCAATTTCCATTTAAAGACCTCATTACAGAGATTATTGTGACACGCTTTGAAACATGAGCATTCATTACATGTTATCTGTGTATTGGAGTTTGGAAAGTTAATGCACCAGGAAATGAAATTACTCATCCTGGGTTACCAAAGATGTATGTTCAAGTTATGGTTAAAATCCAAGCTGTAGATCTCCATTGTCTTTACTGCACAATTGGTTTTGCTCTTTTTTTTTTTTTTTTTTAAACCACATCTTACAGTTGTACATTCAGCTGGAAAATTCCACCCTGCTGCTTTTCTGTCAAACTGTAATTGCCAGTTAACCAGCAATTAGTTAACTATGGCTTGTTTGTCTTTGTGAACCTTCCCTTCCTTTGCTTTGGGGTTCAAAGGATGGAGAAAAAGTGGAATTACTGGGAAAGAAGAGCCAGGCTGTGAGGAACAGTGGGCAGAGAACCAGAGAGGCAGAGCCCAAGGAGCTGCTCAGGTAATGGATTGACCAAGAGACATGCCGCTGCTGCTTCTCTGAGTCTTTTATCCATAGATGACCAGAGGTATGTGGATTTTCCAGCCTTTCAATGCTGGGGAGGCAGGGAGAAAGAGAGGTTAGAGGTAAGGGAGGTATAAGGCTGGAAGGACGGGGCTGCATGGTGCACCTTCCTTTACAATACCTGCTCTGATACGTCCACGGCCCAGGAGGGTAGGGTGGAGATGGTGTGTATTTCTCTATTTATAGGTGTGCTTGAATCTTCACCAAAAATTCTTCTAGATAACAGGAACACAAGAATCATGTCAGCTTAAGAGACTGTGGAAAATAACCTTTATAATTTTATTTTTTCTAGTATTAACAAAGACACTTATATTGTTGTTAATATGTTTATATAAGTTTATTACCTTTTGTTGTTTCCTAAGAGTAAATATAAGTTTGCATTCAGGTAGGATAACTAGGAAATTATAAAATTGAGTCATTGCAAACATTAAAATGTTGCATTATCCTTAAACATGCCTAGCTTAATACCAATATATACAGATTCTGGTTTCCAGACAGGTTACTGCATTGTGGGAGGTGTTTTAAACAGATCTAATGCTAAGTCCTGATCAAGATTGTGCAGGCTCTTACTAGAATTATATTAATTATAATTAATTAAAAAAAAATTAATTATATCAGAATTATATATTATCTCAGAATTATATTAATGTTAATATTATATTGTTATGTTATATTAACTATATTATCTCAGAATTATATTAATTTCTGTTGTCAACCTTATTTCAAATTACATTTGTTTATTCATCTGAGAATTTTATCCATTCGATTCAGGCTTAGTTTTGACTTCCAATCAATCATATTTTTCCAATTTTAAGCAGCTCCATAAAACTATGGCCTGCTGAGGTGCAAAAACACTTGCAGTTGTCCTGAGAAAAATCTATAAAAATGTAAGAGTGTAGCTTGTTTTGACAAATTTCAACATGAGTCATGAATACTCAGGTTTCTTAAGCCTTTGAACAACGATTTTCGAGCTGCATAATTTTGATCCCAAAATACTATCATCTCATGACATGTTATCACAAATAAATTCTCAGCCCTTTAGACATTACTTTTTATAACTAGCTGCAGAATTATGGTCTCTGATATATAGGAACTCTTTTATCTTCTTTTTAGATTTTATACTCCCTGAATAATAGTCAAATGTTGAACGGCAGTGTCAGGAAAACAGAGAAATTCTGTTGATTTTGGATACATGGCACGGAAGAATCCCGTTTGCTTCTGCTGATGAAACATAAACATCCCTGCTTCATCAGTTATCACAACATTCATGCATATTGATAGAGATTCATTAGCAATAAAATTTTTACTCTGAGGTAGATTTTGTTAGGAATTTACACTCTCTCTGATGTAACTGCACTGAGACCTCAAACTTGGTGTTTCTTAGAACGTGAAAGTGAAAAGCACATGATGTTTTTCTTATTTCAAAAGTAAAAACATTGTGTGAGAGGGGCACATGGTGCACAGAGGTTCAATAAAACCATGTTGCACAACAGTCACTGACTCCAGTGTTCTTTGAGATGGACCAAGCAACTCTCCTTATTGTTGTTCTTCAGCTTTGTGGAAGTAAGGTTGCTTTCTTATTCCTACCTAACACCTTTCCTCTTTTTATCACATCATGACAGCTTTGATCACAATTCACAAGTGTGTTACTGTGTGGCTCAGACAAATTTTAACTGTTCAAAGGTATTCACAAGTTTAAAGTAATAATAATTCCTAGGGTTTGGGGTTTTTTTTAGTGAACTTTTTCTTCTGTGCTTTGCTTGTAGTGCTGCCCAAGTTTCTGATTTTTTCTATAATTTAAATTTTCAATTATGTTAATTCTGAAACTGAATTTCTGTGTGTGATTTAGCCAATGTAGAAGGAAAGTTTGTGGATTCAACTGTAAAACTCACTGAGAATGTGAAACTGGAGTGCATATATCCAAAAAAAGCTGTGATAATCCAGACATTCTGGATGAAACTTAATGTAACTCATAAAGAAAATTTAGCTGTCTTGCATCCAATCTACAGCATACATATTGAAGATAAATACAATGGAAGAATTTATTTTGAAAGTGCTTCCAGGCAAGACAAATCCTTATCCTTCTTCAAGAGCACTTTGGAGGACATTGGTCTTTACTTTTGCTCCATTGTAACTTCCCCAGATTGAATTTGGGAAAAGGTAACAGAAATTATTCAGCCAGGTAAGTAAATTTCTCATTGTTTTTTATATTTCTGATATATGCAAAATAGAAATCCATGCCAATTTAGGGAGCATCTGGCATTGTAATTTTTTTTAATTATACAGCATGCAAAAATTGAGTAATTTGGGGAAAAGAACTGGCACAACAGAAAATAATTACATTACTTTAACACAAGATCATTGTAAGAGAAGCAGGAAGTAAGGAGGGGAAATGAAGGAGAAAGACAGAAGTCACAGCAGCGATATGTTGCATGTCAGACTTCAGGTACTAATGGTCATTGCATTGGGACAAAGTTCTCTCAGCATTTCAACAAGCTATAGGATATCTTCAGAAGGTGAAATTGCAACTACCCATGAAATTATATGGATGAACCTTGTAACTAGTCTTGGAGCATACCATATTTTTTTTTTGTTATGTTATATACTGTGCACATTCCTGGTCTGAAATTAGGAGCTCTTCTGTGCTTGCATTTTCAGGAACAAAATAACCATTTAGGAATGGTGTGGCAACAAAAGGGAGGGAAGTAAGGAAGTTTAAATGAAGAAAAAAATCTTTTCTTTAAAAGGAGACTCTTTTAAACATGGAAAAGGGAAGAAGGAAAGAAAAAGATCCAGCTATGCCCACGTCCTTTCTGTGTAGCTGTCCATGTATTTTCCAAAGGTTCTGTAACTACCCGGCCACTCCTCCAATTTGGTTTATTTTCCAGCTCTACGAGTAAGAAAAGAAAGAACCCTTTTCTAGCATTTTTCCATGCATGTCTATTCAGCATTGGTCAACTGACAACTCTGATGCAAACTACCAAGCTTCTCTGATAGGAAAGAATTCCTTAGGAGGAGATTGTATACTTATGATAGAATAGCCTTCAAAAGATAACTAGTTTTGCTTATTGGTTTGTTGATATGATATTGTGAATGTAGAAAGAATCTGTTCCACTTCCCTATTCTCCAGTGTGTAAATAGACTCCATTCAACATTTTATTGCATTTGCCAGCTAAGAAAGAATGGATTGAAAGAAAAAAATATTTCCTAGCATTTGAACGACTAGAAGACAAAAACAACAGGTTTTTTCCTAGCCTGATCCTTCTGAGTGTTCATTTCAAACTTATTTTGTCTGCACTTCTGTAATTTCAATATTACAATGAAACAGTGGACCTGACTATTGTAGGAGATGTCTAAACTTCAAAAATTCAAGGTAGACTATTCCTGCCTGCACCACTGAAGGTTTTTGAAACTTTATTTTAGGCAACACATTTGTTGATGGCACTGATGAATTAGGAATCCCAGTCTGTTTTTCTGTGTCTGATAGCTTTTTATTAATAAACATTGCTTCTCATCAAATCAGAAATTAAACCATACATAAGTGTGTATAGTTTCTTTTTCTGTAGCAGTCCATTTAGTGCACAGTATTATTGCAAGTGTAGGCATTAGAAACATAATTTTTGGTTGCATCCAGAGAAGCCAAGATCGGGAAATCCAGGTTGTTTACAAAAAGGAACAGGCAAACCAGATCTCCAACCTGAGTTCTGTCAGTGCTGAGCCCTTATTCACATTGGTCTCATCTTCTATAAAATCCTAAAAGTTAGATGCAGTAGAGATCTGCAAGCTGATTTAGTCCTTTTCATGCCCAAGTGTTGCAGATGAAATATTTTACATGATTACAATTTAGCAGCAATTCAAGATTTATTAATGGTGTGAGGTAAATCAAAGGTTAAATTTTAGTGGCACTTAACCATTAACCAATTCAAAGATTAACAAGATGATTCAGTAAAATATGTTCTGATTAAAACAGTGACTCAGTTACAGATTTGAGAATGACAAGATTCATACTAACTTACTACAGGGTATCCTAAGTCAATATATATGTACATATGTTTGTATATATAAACACAAAACACACTAAGACAGACAGAAATATTTGGATCTAGTGAAACAACCTATAGGTACAGAGGTGGACAGAGGAGACTAGCCTGCAGCTAAAAGTTCTCTCTTCTTTTCTTGAGTTTTGAGTAAATACTCATGATGCATTGGCATTCCTCAATGGGTGATAACTGAGCCTCGAGAAGTCGAGCTGTGCCTTGGCTTTTCATTGATTTTGCCAGCAGATCTCCTTAAACGTCTTTGGTCTAAGGAGGCTATGCCTGAGAGGCGTCCCAGCTCAGGGGAGATGCTGATCACAGCCCACAGTGGTATAGTAGAGCTCAATGGGTCTGGCTTAGGGTCTCTATATATAGGGCCTGAGATAATTGGCTTTTGTCAGGTACTTTTCCATTTCGGCCTGGCTTGGATGATGAAATATTCTGGCGTTTTCCACTCACCCTCTTTGGGTTCCAACCCAGGTGTAGGTGCAGATGAAGATTGCTTCTACCCATGTGCAGAGGTACTAGGTTGTCAGGAGGTGACTGGCTGATCTTTATAAACATGATCTTTATAAACACTGATTTAAAGAGAATGAAGGGTATCACCAGTGAAGATAAAATATTAAAACTTCAATCTACACTGCAGATTAAATATGTTACTAAAAACAGAGTTTAGAGAAGGTATTTATTTATGTAGTATAGTAGAACTGTTATCAGTCAAGCTTTATCTTAATTTACTTAGCACCTTCATCAGTACTAAATATTTTAACCTCCTGGATGACAGTCTAGCTTTGATTAAATAAACAGTAAACTTCAAAATTCATTTCCACGCAGCTGGTATTTTAGCTTGCTGATGACACTAGAGATACAGTTTTTCTTTTTTGTCTTCCAACTTGTGAAATTAGGACACTGATGTTCATCTTTAAAGTTTTTTTTTCTGCACCAGGGAGAGAGCATTGAGAAAGCTGAGTATTAGTGTTAGGATTTCACTGTAGACAAATCTTATTCTGTAGGATTAGTATACACAAATAGTTGAGATCCTGAAATATGAAGTGTTTTTAAAGGAATCTGATATTCATTGGTATAAAGAAATCTGACCAACATGCTAGAAAGATCATTTTATAGGTAATTAAAACTTTTTTCCAATTGCAGTGTTTTCTTGGTTGGGATTTATATTTTATTGCTTCCAATAGACATTACTTTTCAAAAAGCATTAATTTACCCAAGGTATCGCAAACAAATTAAACAAGTCACTGCAAAACCCATTTTTCTGTTTATAACAGATAATCAACAAATGTTTAACAGACTTTTTTTTTTTTTTTTTTTTTTAGGGAATTTCATAATGTCTAATGTTTTGCAATTTGTGGTTTTAGTTTTAAAGACTGATTGCAGCTTTGTGGACGCATAACATTCAACATGAAACTTTAGCTTGCTCTGGTAAATTGACACAGATGAATTTAAATTTATATTATTAAGGTTTTTGTGTCAGTCAAAACTGAAGCCTGGTTTATAATTTAATTTGCACTACCAGGGCATTGGAAATTGTCAGTATTTATCAATACTGACCTGTTACTGTGTGACCCAGCAACTTAAGCAGGTAACTATGTCATTGAGGAATCTGCAGCACATACCTCAATGAATACTGGAAGCAGGATATAGATATAGAATACATGACTGGCTTTCAGAATTTGGATTGAATGGAAACAGCAGAAAAAAAATGAAATAATGCCATATGGAATTATAGTCATGATGGAGATTCTTAGCTAAATTAAAGTATAAGGTGAATTGTTCTTCACATGGCAATCATATCTGCTGGCAGTTACATAAATTTGGATAAAGTATCTCAGATTAACTTTTGCTGGCTTGCAAAACAATGAATGTTTCTGCACTCAAACTGTTCAAAATTGCTCTAGTGATTCATTCCTTGTAATCAACAGAGGCCATGAGTGTGATTTTGACTTCCTATGTGCTTTGTATAGTTTTTTAAAACTACGAATACAAAGTGAGTAGAATTGTATGATTCTGATTTGTCAACATTTTTCATTTGCGTAGTTTGAATACCCAAGTGCTGATGCTTAATGAGTAAATATTTCAAGTAGTGTCTAATCATTACAGTAGTGTCACTAGATCCAGCAACTCAAGTGTTAACAAGACCCTGGTACTACAAGATCAAGCAGTTAAAAAAGTTTGGGGATCATGACTTGCTTTTTTAAACAAAAACACAGAAAGAGAAGAAAGAAGTCAAGTATCTGAAAAACATTAAGCATGTTTCTTTTTATTAGTATTTTGACAACTTCCCTATTTCTTTCCCCTTAGAGTAAAGGTGTTTTCATAAATAAAAAACCCACTGTGGTTACAAAAAATGATTAAAGATGCTATCGAGTGAATAAAACATCACAACAGATTTGCAGTCTGTGAAGTGGCAAAATAATACTGGAGAACTTCTATTTAGGACTCTGCTCCTGGCTTAATCTCTGGTTGCAGAACAGCAGTTCACTCCACCACGGTCTGTGGTGATTCTTTTTCAATCAGGGACAAAAGAAAAAAGAAAAAAGAAAAAAGAAAAAAGAAAAAGAAAAAAGATTGATCTTGGGTAAGCAATGGCTGAGCTATCTTAAGGACCTGAGACCGCAGGAGACAGAGGAGGTTATAGCTCCCATTACACAGGTCTTTTCTTGGTGTACTATCCCTATTGCATCACTGGCAGATGGAAGACACTAGAAGAGGTGATAAATCACCACTTATATGACATTTTTGATTAAATTGTTGTAGTAATTGTTTTTTTTTTTTTACTAGATGTGGTCTCAGATTAGTCTTGGAGCTGTATCAGAATATATATAATAAAAAGGTAAGTATGCATTTTTTTCTTTTTGCCTTAAATTTTGGCTAAAGATGTCCTAAGACATCTATGAAATAGGTGAGAAAGAACTCTTGCAGACTGCACAACATTATCCATTCTTTCTTTATTGGCAGTTACTGAAACATACTGACAGAAAAGCAATAATACTCAGGATATTATATTGGAAACTTCACAAGTTATGTAGCTACATGATATCCTTACAAGTAGATGCAGTGCTGAAATTCTGTACCACAATTGTGAAGAACCTGAGAGTATGTTCTGCTATAGTTACACATTAATGTGTTGGCAAAGATTAGTCTCGTTATCCCACAGGAGGATATTTGCCAGCTGGGTGAATCTGTTGCTTCTTTTTTCCTGTGGTGTGAACATATATCCAACAGTTTTCAGAACTGAATACAAGGGATATTTTTTCCCTTAATGTTCCCACATTTTATGAGTCACAACTACTCCTGCACTGAGCAAAAAACCCTCTTATTTTCAGAGAAAACTCCTTGTACATGTATTGATAAGATGTAATGATTATGTAGTCAGTAGTTTTATTTCACTATTCTTCATGAATAGTTTAAGGATGATCTGTAGTTTCTTATATATAAGGCTTAGACAGAAATGACTGAAGACAGATTTTGAGTGCAGTATAAAATCTGAGTAGCAGAGAGTGAAGTCACTAGCAATAGAAGAAGCGTTAGAGTTGGAGACATCACGCAGGAATTGTTGATCATCAAAAAGATGTTATTTCACAGGCTTGCTTCCTGGAGGAGAAAGCATTTGAAGCTGCAGGTGTTGTAATTTTACTTTCAAATGAAAGAGAGAGCAGTGTACTCTCTCAGTCCATTAGGCAGGTGTTTGTGGAGGGACATGTTTAACTGTCATCACAGGTTGCCACTCAAAACACAGTACAAAGAAGCAGAACTGCAATCTTTTTCTTTCTTTCTTTCTTTCTTTCTTTCTTTCTTTCTTTCTCTCTCTTGGTCTCTCTCTTGCTCTCTCTTGCTCTCTCCTTCTCTCCCCTCTCTCTTTCTTTCTCTTTCTCTTTCTCTTTCTCTTTCTCTTTCTCTTCTCTTTCTTTCTTTCTCTTTCTCTCCCTTTCTTTCTCTCTCAAGTCAAAAGTCTTCAGCAGTGAAGAATTATGTGACATATAAACTGTTTAAATGAAAGCTGGCCTTTTTGACATGCAGTGTTGCATGTTTAATTACATAAAGAGAGAATGTATTTTAAATTACCTCGAATATTTTTGTCCTGTGTTTGTTTATTTACCTTTCAAAACTGTTGAATTCTAACATGAATATCTGTATATTTATTTTCTCAGGAGTTTTATTTCTGTTAAAATATTTTCTGTTAAAATAGTACTAGTTTGACTTAAAAAATCCTGTGTTAGGATCTGAATGGAATGGGAAGTATTCTTTGGTGTTTGCAGTAACTTTTACATCCATAATGTGAATTATGCAAAGTTGCATAATTAGTTGGCAGGGGTATTTTTGCTGTTATAAGATTGCAATTTTTTTTTTTTTTTTTAATTCGTTAGTAAATTTGTGTTCCTGTCAATCAGCGACAATGGACTATTTACTCAGGGAATATGTTTTGCTAGCAACTCTGCATGAGAATTGAAGTTCATTGATAGAGTATTTAAATGCCAGATGTACCATGAAGTACTCACATATTTTAAATAGAGTGATCAACCTCTTCTGTGACAGCAGAGACAGATCTTTTCTATTCTTAGCTAGTGTGATGATATCCATGCCACTCAGCACTTACTTCTGTATTAATGTTCTTCTGCCTGACAAAAGCAGCACATTGCATAGTTTTTTTTTTTTTTCAAGTCCCTGTTCACCTGAAATAGCTTGCTTTCTATTTATCTCTGTCTCAACTTAGAATGTGATTCATAGGTCTACAGTGAAAAATTATCAGCCCTTTAAAGCACACGGAAGCAAGAACTAATCATGAGGGATCTACATTCTTTGGCTCTTAGACTGTGAGCTCCCCAGAGCAAGAATTATCTCTGTATCTTGCACAGCATCAGCCACATTGTCAGCACCTAATTAGAAAGCAAGAGGATGGAGGCAAGTGAAGCTGCCTTTTTCACGCCTCTACTGTGACTATTGACCTGTTAAATGCTGCTTTTCTTACTTTATCTCTTATGTGATGAACTAAGGATTTCAGTATAAAAGGCTAGGGAAAAAAAAAACAAAACAAAACAAAACAAACCAGCCCTGTTAGGAGTAGAGCAGATATCTCCTTTTCTGAAGGAAAAGCTTAGATCAAAAGGAATTACAGAATTGTGGAAAACTCAGGCTGGAAGAGACATTCCAAATTCATTCATGTCATCCATCTCTGTATTCTGAGGCAGGATAAGCATTTCTGTGTCATCCCTGACTGATTCCCATGTTGGAAATGCATGCATAATACTTTTGTGTAGTAGTTCTAGCACTTAACCAGCCTTACAAGGAGATTTTTTTTCCCCATTATATCTATCCTAAATATCTCTTGTTTAATACTGAGTTTATTCGTTGTAGTCCTTCCTTTGAAAAAAGAGGAAGCTTCTCATGCTGTCAGCCTTCAGTCATCTCTCTGTACTAAACAAACACAGTTCTTTTAACTTTTATTCTTAGTTCATTATTCTGCATGTCATCATTTTTATTCTCATCAAAATTTTCTCCAGTTTGTATATAACCTTATTAATATAAGATACATAGAAGGAAACACAAGATTCCCTCTAAGGTCTTACCGTTGTTAAATAATGCAGAATGATGCCTCCTTTGTCTTGTATATGACTCTCTGTTGACATACCTCAGAAAATTTGTCTTTTAGAAACAGACAATATGATAACATTTTCGACTCTATTTGGCTAGCAATCAGAGCACTGAGATCCTTTTATTCAGCATTGGGGATTTTTTTACATTTTTCCCTCTTCTTTCTACTCCTTACCATTTTGAATGTTCAGTTAGTTACTAGGAATAACGATGTTGTTATGTACTCTTGG